AGCCGAGGTGATGATAAGGGTTACACGTTAATATAAAATCTTGTTCCGTCGCTTTGGCGGGACTGCGCGAATAATTCTGTTGAGCCATTTGTGGTTCAGAGGTTGCTCGGGAGTGGGTGGCCAAGGTCATATGGCCCCTGGAAGCACAACTCGATGAATGAAAAGTGAATGAACAAGTGCGCGAACTGATGAATGGGAGAACGGTTGGACAAAAATTAGCGTTTCTTGCTAATCTGATGGATGCGGTGATCGTAGGACTTGACAGAACACGGGAAATTTCTGACAGCGCCGCGGCGAAATTCTGTTCCTGAAGGCGGACTCGATTCAACACGCAATGATGTAATAGCCAAGTCGGATTCTAGCACTTTATGGGCGAAAGTTTGCGTGTTGGCCCTTTCATTTGAAGTCTGGTGCGACACGTCTCGCGAGGGAACCTCAAGCTACCGGGAACGGAAGACCGCTCGAATAAACAGCAAGGCTGGGAGCTTTCGTTGGACCCCGGCGCTGGACGCAAAACTTGCAGACGGAGCTCTGTATTCTATAAACGTGGCGTTGGCTCCCTCCTAATGAGCATTCGTTTCTGCGGCGGATTGTTTACGGGGTCACACCGTGCGCAAGGTTAGGCCACGAGCAGGCTTAGAAGGAAAAAAAGATGTTGCCGTCATCTTATCCGCAAGAACTTCGAAGTGTTCCCCCTTCTCGGCAACCTTACTGTGAACTTATCCATAATGAAGCCGGTAGCCGTGTATAAACAAACTTCAACGATCCGGCAACATCAACACAGCTTCTGGTCATAGAATCAGTGAGGAACTTCAACACTCCCGGTACAGTACCGTGACTCGAGGAAGTAAGCCGAAACGAATAACCATAAAATTGGAAAACGAAAATTGAGACCTCAGCACCGAAGCAAGTGTTATTGATTTGCGTGCGGAATGCCTCGCGGAAACCCTCTCGCGATCAGTCGCTGCATCGGACCAGCTTTCGAGCGAGCTTTGTAGGAAATCTGATCCAACGGTCAAGTTTAGGATATATGTGAAGTTTACGCTGACTACATGGCAGTTTCGATCTGGAACTGGAAGTGCTTGTTCCGGGCGGGAACTTCCATGTCAATGACGACGAGTCGTCTCAGTGAATCAGACTGGTTTGTCCACAGCTCCGAAATCTTCCGAGATGATGGCAACAGGAATAGTGATAGCTATTTATACGTACAATTCGATGCCGGAAAATGATGAGAGGCGATTCGGTCTTTTGTCCGATCTCATCAGGTGTTGTCGCGGATGTCATCGATGATTCTCCGTAAACGCATGAAATTGACTCGAATTTACTTCATCCCGTATTGGACCACCTGTTCCGGGGAAGATTACCGGGTTGTCAGATCGTCGAATTTCTATTCAAAGCCTTGAATTCGGGAAGATCGCTGCGTCAAAACATCGAATTCGTAACATGGAAGCGTTGGGGCGATTTATTCGAATTCGATTGTCTCATTCAATCTGAGACGCATTTAGAACGAGTTGTAAAATAGTTTGTTGAAACTTTGCCAAATACTGTCACTATTTGGCATCGGAGCGAGCGTGCGTCTATATTGAAATATTAACTACCCTTAGATAACCTTGCACCTGGAAGTCGCTCGGGAGCGACATCGCCGAAAACGTTCCTGTTCATAGTTCCAACTCACAATTCGGAGACATTCTGCTGCCGACGATGGAGGCATGTGCCATGATATCAACAAATCCGATGTCTTCGATGCAAATATCTCGCAATAGTGCATTCGGCTTTACTGGCGCTCAGCTTAAGGCCTCAGAAGGTGCCTTGTAAGCGCCCCGAAAGATGTTCCTCCGCCGTCGGCCCGCCTTGGGGCGTCTATTGAGTAAATCACAAGAAAACAGATAAAATAGGGAAAACCATTTTCCTAAGACCTCCCAACAATGCACACGCGAATGCTCAACGATGGTCAACTACTAAGTTGCGACGTGTTGTGGAAAGGCGAGACGAAAACCGAAAACGATGACGAACTGCGCAACGCTCAGATCGTTCGTAGTCGGTTCGTAATCTACACACGTGCCGAATTCGGTGATTCGCTTCTCCAGAAACAATGTGAATGGTGACCCTCGTCGAGCTTGAAATTCTTAGCGAATGGCATCAATGAACGAGCAACGGCATATAAGGAACCATCCCGGTGGAGCGATTTCCAATCTTCCTCCACCTCGCCGACCAAGATAAGCGCAACTTATCTGACAATGTGGGCTACCGAGAATTCAGCATGACGAGCTCGATCCGACCCCCCACTCGTTCTGCCCAAGCTACTTTCCTCCACCACTTTCGACTCGCGAAAACGCTCAAGAGACGGCAGTTCCCCCATTGAGACGCTCGAATATACAGTACGTCATCGGCAGTGCCATCGATCGAGAGCATTTCACTTCTTCGTGGTTCTATAAAAAAACTAATTCCGAGAGGGCTGCCATCTCTACGACGAGAACGGCCGCTTTGATGGCAAGCCTCCGCGCATGCCCATGTACATTCGTTTCGATGTCACCCTGTTGCACGAGCATACTGCTTGCATATATCCTGTCCCATCCGGGCTGTGTCGAGTACCTGGAATCAGCAAGCCAAAGGTCAAGAAGACTCCTGACCAAAGGATTCTCACCGCAAACCAGTCATCTGACCATTGTTTCAAGCGAGAAATGGCCGCACGGCCGCACCAACCGAACAACGATTGCCCATTACAGTGTCACAGGTGATATTCGCGAACAACGGAAGGTCCGCTGCTTTCGAGAATCACGGTCGACTTCCGAGCGCAGTATCCAATCCGGGTTCGATGTATCGAGTTTGATCCTGGTTCTCTTTTCCTGTTTCGGAATTTCTTCTCTCTCGGTGGAAGCAGAAAGTCTTCATGCGAAGGCTAGCTCCGCTCCCAGGGGGCTCGCTGTCAGAAAGTAGATGCTGAGAGCCTGGGGAAGGCTAAGTGGGCTACTCGATCTGCTGCTTGGGATCTGCCCGACGGCCTTGACTTCCGCTATGGTTTTCAGAAATATATCGTGTACGCATTGTCCACTTGCCGATCGGAAGTCACCTCACGACAAAAATTCGGGTGGAGCTCTCCGCTGGCATCGTTAGAGACTCCAAAAACTCGGTCGAAAGAAGTGAAACATGAGAGGAGTGTCTCACCTGTGGAAAGAATTTATTTTCTCGCAATCGGAGACCTTGCGCTGCGCGCGCGAGAATTTCAGCGGCATGGATGTCATGGGAGGAACTCACGTGAAACGGGAACAAAACGCCTGTCGAGCTTTAGATTACATTATAGGTCGGCAAGTCGGCCAACACGTGGCTCTCTGCGCGATGAAATTTTCGTTAAACGAACAATCGGCAGACAGAAGAAATTTCTCCGCCAGCGATTGAATGACTGGCACGGTGCTGTTGGACTGCGGAAGCCGTCCTATCTACGGATCCGATGCTCTCGATTCCGAGCCCGATACACACAGCAGGTGACTCTCAAGGCCAGCTCGATTGTCCATCCGGGGTAGGGCCTGGTCCAACCCCATCGGACAAAGCCGTCGCAGTCAACAAAACGGATTAGAACCCGAATCCCAATACTGAGGTTAAATTAGACATAGCTTGGAACGGGACTGAAGTCGATGACTGGGAGGACTCTGAACGCGTGTTCGCTCTATTCTCAGTTTCCGATCTTTATAATAGCTCATTCTCCAGCTTTGTTCAGCCCATCGAACAAAGTCTTAAGAATTCGAGCTTTGACACAATGTATCGTTAAAAGGTGTTTCCATCCCGAGCTACCGCGCGTGGCTTTCGGAATCACTGCAGAATGGGATGGGCGCGAAGGAAACGGTCTCAGCCCGCAGCTATCTGCGTAGCCGAAGTTTTCGAAACGTTGCTCGCGATGATGGGAACTTTGGAGGAGCAGTGAAGCAAGAAAGTACGGCGGCAGACGAAAACGTCCCGAGTTTGAATCCCGAAAGCTTGCGTGAGGTGCTCTTCGCTCTTCAAGGGTTGAAACGTTGAGCTCCGAAGATGACACAACTGTTTTCGGAAGAAAATGTCAACACGCGAGGTCTGAACTCTCAGCTCTTGTCGCGTTTCGCTGGTGAATTCAACAGAATTATTCTAGATAGAATAACTCGTCATGAGTGTCATGCCCTCGCGTCAACCTGTGACACTTCGTCTCTCGAATCTGAGCCTTTCATAATTTCATTTTTGAGGGATGGAGCTCCGCTGCCTTTTCCCCGATTTTTCAATGCTCCGTCCTCATAACATTGATCGGGGCTCATGATTGAGCCTCGAGATGACTTCCGACCGCGCAGCCCGTAGATTGATACGTCGTGATTGATGCTGCCCCAGGAGTTCCAGTGCCTGCAGGGATTTCTGACACGCGGAATTCCACCTGTCAGATTGAAAAGATTCGAATGATGTCGCTTTCAGAACTATAGTTCTATTCCCGAAATCGGGAAGAAGACGAATGAAGAAGACAGATCTTGATAGAAGGAATAAGAGAGTGGTAGGAAACGCTCCACATTGTCGGAGAATGGCTTCCTCAAAGTCAGACGTTCAATACACGAAGACGCAAGTCGGAATCTGCGGGATGCTGAACGTGCATGAGAGCTCTGCGAAGATTCAGTCTGGATCCACTCCCTGCTCGTCGTCATCATCTGGAGATCCTTGGTTTATTCTGGCAGCTTTCCATAATGTGCGAGTGGCACTTGAACGATCTTGGTTCTGATACATTGAACGACCTGGTGCTCAACAATGAATAGCGCTTGTAATTACCACTGACAACGAGAACAGCGTTGGCTTTCTCCCTGGGGGTCTGTGTATGAAGACCCGGGATGCGCCGTAGAAGCGATGCAGCAATCGAGCAGCTTGACCTTGTTCGCAGAGCCGAACTCTTTCATCTGATTTCGTTTTGTCTTTGTTCCGACCCTCGTACCGCAGGACAGGATATGATCGTTATAATCAAATTTCCTTGTGAATAATCTTCTCCCATCTTCCAGGTACCGGATACTTCGGTTTGTGGAAATACTGTCAACTGATTCAAGATGGTCAAGGTGTCACCTGCGCGGGGACATTATCCGACTTTACCCAGATCCCGTCGGTGGCTTTCCGCATCACAACTGTTCTGGTCGGGCTTTCTGTGGCTCTGAGCATCGTTTCTGTGCTCATCATGCCAATGTTCTGCTTCGTTAACACATCCACCACTTTCCACATCTGCGGTTGGCTGCAAGCGTTGTCAGGTATGGTTCGAGCGAGGATCTGGTTGAGGCCAGCACCAAAATAACTCTCCAACAATGAAGCAGCGGTATGCTTCGAATAGACTCGGAATAACAGCGCGTAGTGTCATACCGCAAAACGGAACCGTCGGCTGCTCTGGGAGATATGACGAGGTCCCCTTGTTGGTACTGGATCTTGCTACTAGGAGCATTCGGAAGACCCTTCGTACGCTTCCCGCAGACAGACAGGAGCAAGTTGCCCGCGGACTACACACAGAACCGTCGAAATCTTTTTCTTAGCGATACACTCGGGAGAGATAAGCGTAATGCTTGTGGCGAGTGACTTCTTCGGGGAGCTTATGAGGTGTGCCGTTCCAGGTATGACCCTTCTCGGCGGATGTCTCGTTTACCCTGCTGGTTGGAACATTTCTATCGTCCAGGATGTCTGCGGTCCGTTAGCCGGGGAATACTCGCAAGGCAACTGTGCCATAAGGTGGGCTTTCGTTCTGGCTGGCATCGGTGTTGCAGACTCCGTCGTCCTGTCGATATTGGCATTCGTCTTGGGGAGCTATTACGTGAAAATGCTGCCCAAAAACTACCTCAACTCGAAAGGTGAGCCTCAACCAGCTGCAGGAGGGATTCCCCGAAGGCTGAAATCGAGCCTGACTCCTAACTGTTATTGCGGGCGGGAGCCGGTACTTCTAAGGGATTCATCTTCCTCACCACAACTTCTACTACGTTTTTCGCCTTACGGAACGGAGTATCGAAACTGTACCAATTTATTTTCTCGAACTTCCTCTCAGCGGAAGCTTCCCCGACAAAGTTTATGCAATCGAGTTCCGTGGGGTTCCGTTCCATAGGATCGTTCCGTTCTTTGATGTACCTAGACTCGTCCTTTATGATCCGCGCTTCCTTGACGAGATCTTGCACAAAGCCGCAGGGTTAATAATAATCCTTCCATCGTAGCCGAACTGAAGGGGGGAGAGGAAGGCCTGCGTTTTTGATTCATCTTCGCCGCGCGCCTGCTCGAATTCGATAGAATTCTCACTCCGCTGCCCGGATCTTGAATATTCCGATCATCAAATATTCCATCTGGATAGATTTTCTCTCTTCCGGCGGAATCGATTTCCGACCAAAAATTTGAGGAACGTCTTTGACTCAGTCGACGGATTCGACACGTAGTCGCTGGTAGACTAATCTGACGCTTTCCACGCTCGACGCTTCTTCGCGGAGAGCTAAATGGATTTTGCAATTCGAAGCGTGTATATGCGACGCTAATCGTATCTCAGCTCTTTCGAGCTATTGAATGGTGGGGAATGAATCAGAAAAACGCTCGCACGCCATCCAAGTCTTCGGAATTCGTCAAAGTCTTCGCGGATACTCGCGATTGCACCGTCGATTCCAGGGATTTTCGACGGTGATTTCAAAGAGCGAGGAGCCGGCCGCGGGATATTATTGCCGCCGTTCGGCATTCCAGAGTTGATGATCTCGTTGGTCCACTCTCGGAGACCGAATGAAGGGGAGATCGTCCGTGTATTGTCGTCCTCCCTAGATCGTACGTGTCTTCGACCCAACCCCACAGAGGAGCTCCAAATTTGCGACGACTCCGATCTTCCCGCGTTTATTGGTCAGCCAGCTGGAACGCGCCTTCTTTCAATAAGACTAATGAGACTTCCTTCCGCAGTTCCGAGCGAAAAGATGAGCCGAGCAGGATCGATCGTGCCTGAGGGCTACGCGCCATCACATTACTCACATGGTTACGGCTTCTGAAGAAGCTCGGATCGAGTTTGACTTGTAGCATTTGTACATTCAAATCACGATCGGAGTTCCACTTCACACTGACCAACCTCAGAGGAACGGAAACGAAGCCCCTAACTCAACGATGTCCACTAGCCCTTCCCGTCTCAACATGTGTGCTCCGAACGTGGTCACCACCGTCAACATTGGACTTCGAGCCTTTTCCTGGCGGGATGTTGCGATCTTAGCCCCGTCGAAGTTCTACTTCTCTCTGAGGAGCATGAAAAATATTGGGGTTCCACTCCTGTACATAGGATCTGTTATTATTTATGCCAACGAAAAAGTAGGACGCATATTGTTGTTTAGCGTGCGAATAAAAATGGTAACGTATCAATGGTTCCTTCATTTCTTCTCTCGTAGCATGAAGCAGTCCTGGATTTGGACGAAATCGTCGAGTGGCTCGGCGCTTCGCATCGCTCCGGGACGGAAACTGTCGGATGAGTGTCTTGTCGAGTGTTTTCAGAAAGCCCGGAGGTTCTTCGCCGTTATTCTCTGGCTCCGAAGATAAATATTCTTCTGAAAAAGTTCATAAAGTGTAAACTCTCGCCTTGAATGGATTGCTTATTTTTCTTGCAGTTTTTTTAAGTGATTTCGACTTTTCTTAGAAATTGTTTCACGCCTCACCTGAGAAATTTCGCTGGTTCCGCAGCATCGATGCCACCGGTGCTTCAACCACAGAAAAGCGACACAATGGAAGACCCATGATCTAGACGGTGGCTTCAACAGGATGGAGTCGTTTCATTCCGCGTGACTTTCGGCGCCGTTCGAATACGAAGCGTAGGGTCATGGAATCATCTATACTTTTGAGCGTTCGACCGAACAATCTTCCGAAAGAAGGACGAATATCCACTTCCATTACGAAACTCCAGTGTTTCGCCCGGGGAAACACTCGATCGCCTCTCTTTTCGCCCTCCCGGGATTCTTGACGGTTCATTGGGAAACTTACAGAAGAACCTCTGTCTGACAATCCGGCAGATTCAAATCCTGCATGTTTTTTTCCGGCACAACTTAGAGAGTTGACCCTGCCATCTGAGACGCGTGATTCGCGACGTGTTCGAGGACGAGGCGCGGGATGCCATGACACGCCCCTTCGTCTGAGACCACAAGGCAGAACCAATGCCCCTCAGATGACTCCATCTTCGACCTGAAGGCGTCAACGAGGATCTTTGTCACCGTCATCTCCGTCTGCATTTCCTGTCTCACAGGAATCATACAGAATTTTCGGCTCTGGAACGAGAGTCCGGTGTTCGAGCGCCGGAATCGAAGGTGATGGACACACGAATCGCAGACCAGAGGTCCTTGGAACGCGCATGGAATACCATCGGAGCGATCTCGGAACGTTGAAACGCGGGAATTCGGGTTGGAGAGCTGCTCTGTTGTCTAGATTGAGACACCGTATCGACAGAACCACGGGTACCTCCTCGCCAGCAAAGAACCACTATCGGGCGATTGACTCCGGGATCAGCATAGCCAAGACGACGACTGTGCCTTGGATGCTTAGATCCGTCGCACAAGAACTGTCTGAAGGAACACTAATAAGTAAGACAGACATGGAGATCAATCTGATGGCCGCGATGACCCAGGGGAAGCTCATCCCACACGCGTGGAAACGGTCATTCTGTCATTCAGACCGACATACGTACGAAGATTGGGAGAGCTTGCAGCGCAATCGAGCGAGCCGAGGCTAAAGACAATGACGCTCAATGACTATCTCCCGAGTTCATGCGGCTATCCTTCCCTACCGGCTCGACTAACATCGGGATTCGCCAATAGATGAAGGAAGGCACCGCAAGTCTTCTGCAACCTCGGGAAAGCGATTCAAGAAGAACGTTTACGGAATCAGTGGGATGATTCGCTCATAAGCTACCGCTGTTGGCTGCAATATTCCGATGGTTATGAGCACGGTTAAGCGGCTCTTCAAGCCAGTAGCTTGGTTGGTGTGTCTATTCGCCTCAAGACTCCTCATGCTAATCAGTTCGTTTCCTGCTGTGCACGAGCGATGATCACTCGATTTGGGTGAGTGACTTCGTTTACGTCTTCTTTCGTTACGTCTTCTTCGGCTTCTTCTTGAAAGGCCTTTCTGTTCGGCTTCCTGAGTTTTCAGAGACGGGTCGCTGTGCGCTTCGTGACTAAACGGAATTCTTTTCTCGTCGCTATCCTGCAGTAGTCTCAGCGATTCTTCCAAAAATCCGAAATCGCGGTTTTTGTTCTCCGACAATTGTTCGATCCCTTCTACAATGCTGCTATGAGCAAAAATCCGAGTTCCCTTCTCGTACTGACTGACTGAGAGTCACTCGAAAGACGGGCAAACACGCCCTATCTTTAGTTTCGCGGATCCGTGGAGCAACCGATCGGGAATCCGGCGCGTTCCTTCGAATCGTTGTTTTTGTTTGACATATGCGTCTGGGAGGTACCGGAAGAATTCAATCGATACGTTGCCTTCCATTGCGCATCCGTTGATGGCCCCTTCGTTCATCAACGGCTTCGGCGGTTTAGACGAACGTTTGGCATCCGTGCGAAAGTCATAATTAAACTTGGTCGCCATAAAAGGCCCAATGTTTCTTATTACTCAACGACAGGAAGTACGAAGTACTTTGCATTCTTGATTTCCCATCTTGCGGCGACGTGCTTCTCAAGTTCCCTCGGAGCCGTGCTAGAGAACCTGCAAGAAGGAGAAGAAGCAGAAAAACAGAAGATGACCGTCCCTCATCCTACCGGAAGCGGTCGATGCTGGCCGAACGTTGTATTTATTTACTTCCTCCGAAATTTTCAGCCATCGAGTACTAGCCTCAAGAACGGACAACGGAGCAACCCTATGCCCAAGGTTAAATTCAGAGATAGAAAAATTCAGAAACTATTATGAGCCCGAGAGGAGACTCGACAAGCTCTGATAAGGTGAGAGAGCACTCCGTGTGATGTAGATTCTTCTCAGGGTCTTAGAGGATCGTAAGATCAACGTCTACAGCAATAACAATCCAAGGGCTGTACCTGAGCAAATGATAGCGATCATGTTACGATAGTGCCAGGTAACAACGCTTCCGCAACGAGCATTCTAACTCGGCTGGTCCCATGAATGAAACGACGAGTTTCTCGTTATGCTCAACGCAACCATCCAGTCGAGCTGTGATGCAGGAAGCGGTTACTCTATGATACATGAACAACGACAAGATTTGAAAGCAACGAGACGGACGTGAATGAAAGTACGAAAAGCAAGAACCTCATCAGCGTTTAAAAAGCGTTCTTGAAAAGCGGCACCAAAGCGATCGACAATCGTAATCAGAGACCGAGCTGAGAGAAATCTAAATCTTTGCAACGACTTCCTTCTAATGATTTTTCAGAAAGAATTCAGACTCGTTTCCGTCTCGCAGTACTCGAATTCCGCCCATGGTGCTGCGGCTGTATACTTCAGAATAGCGAGCTGCGCGATCGCCTGAGAGAAGCATCCGACCTCTCACGCGGAAGACTTCAAGGGGTGGCGGTAGTAAAAATAAAAAGTTCCGCTCAGCACTGCGGACTCCGGTCACAGACATAAGCTCTGCCAGACATCGCCTAATACGTGGAGTGACCCTTTCACCATCGGTGAAACGATGGCGTTTGTCTACGATGATGGGTTTCCGGTAGCCGCAGACGATAACCACCGTCGTCGCTGTCGTCATCGCTGTGGTCAACGCCGCGATCGAATCTTGAACGAAAGATAATAGCCTCGTGGATTGTTGACAACAATATCGACAAACACAACAATAACGCAAGCAAAGTTGGAAGACAGCTGAAGCGATCTAAGAGCCCTCATTGATTCATACGGTCGAGAAGCGCCTTAAACGATCCAATCTGATCCAATAATGGATTTCGCTTCAAATCAGAGCGAAGAATGCGCTCACTTGAACGAGACCGATCGCGAGCGAAATATGAAGCCTGGATCCAGCTCAAGTGCGAAAGCTCGTCGTCAAAACTTTTCCGATGAGCGTAAAATACGCGTAAGCGCCTCGATCTGAACCTGTGGACAAATATTTCTTGAAAGGATCGTTGCTTTCCGGAGCGATACGAATCCGAGCGGAATGATCCTGAAAGACTATGTGAGTGATTCACGACGTCCGGCTGCAGGGCAAGCTGCGTGTGTGGTTAGAACGTGTTTGTGCCTATTTGTCCGGCATTGAGGGATGTCTTGTTTTCACGCAAGTTTCACAATGAACCGTTCGCTCGTCTACCGATGCCGCATGTCGTCCGCGGAGACTTCCATACCGCGGATAGCTGGAGGAATCGCCGGCGGCAGTCTCGGAACGAATCAGCTGATCCTTATCGAAGCATCCATGCCGTGTCTATCTGGTTCATCGAGCGGGATGAGGAGAAAATGAACGAATCAGCTCGTGGAATGCGAGAGAACCTTTCAATCGCTCCTGGGAGTCGTACAGTATATACAGCTATAAAGCGAATCGATCCGGCAAATTTTCGGTTCCTCTGCATCAATGAGCATCGAATCGTCGCACAACCTCACCGCAGGCAGGCACTCATGCACGCTGCTTCTGCAATGTGTGTCTTTCGGGATTATGATTTATTAATCATATTGATGTGGGTCGCTGCTTTGCATGTGTTTCTAATATCTTGAAGGGAGCTGTTGCGCTTCGACGAGACCTCCCCCTGTTTTCTCCGAAGCTGCGATGCATCATATATTGAGAATCTAGACGCTTCATGGAAGGCACGAAACTGATTCGAATCAGCTCACGACCCCAACAATTCTCCATGGTTCGCTCGATTGACGAATAAGTTCCATTTTTGCTCCCACATGAGTTCCTCCCTTTCCGGATCCTCCGACGCGATGGAGACAACACACCCCATCGTAGGCTGAAGTCTCCAGGCTGGATGAACCAGCAGCGAGAGGCATCACTCGCTATTCGCTAGGGATGTGCATTCTCGGCCTTAGCTCCTTACAGCCTGGGGGAACGGGTTTCCCCGTCCAATCGAAAGCCGAGTCTCTCGTCTCCGCGCGGTCTCGGTGGTGCTATACGGCGCATTTTCGTGGTCGGAAACGATTCGGAATCCGCTATC